CCCCAAAACCCCAAAACCCCAAAACCCCAAAACCCCGTTCTTCTGAGTACTACTTGAAAATAAATAATTTTAAAGGTATTTATATGGAAGAAGCACTAGAAGTTGCTTCTATTTCGTTCAAAGATCTTAGCCAAAATCATTAGAAAATTCTATATCTTTCAAAATGTTAGACTTTGCTTCTTCCACTTTCCAGCAAGATCTATTGTATTCTTTCTATTTCAAAGCCTTCCATGCTTTGGTCTACCATTGGCACCCATTCACTCATCTTCCTATAGTTCTCGAGCTAGTGCCCAAGATTTCTAAGAGCATGTTTTAATCTTTCACTCAAGTGATTCGGACTGTTAGACATTATTTGACTTAGGCACAACTTTCAACTCATTCCTTCTTTGCACTGTCCTATGTTACTTAAAGAGCTATTCCTTCTTACTCTTGGATCTCTGCCAGGTTATAAATTGCATGAAGACTTTTGAGTGATTGTGCTTGGAGATATATATTTGAAGCAAAGGATGTCAGCCCAACTCTGATCCAGTCTTATAAGCATCTTGGTCAATAAGCGTATTAGGATAAATGACAGTTCGAGAGAAATCAAGAAAGACTCTTTGGATAATTTTGAGATATAAATTATTCATTATGCTCTTTCTCTTCTTTCTGGCTTTCTATGGTGACGTTCTTCTTTGTTTGCAGACATGGGCCTCTCTAGGAGGTGTTACAAACCTCTTTCTTCTTTTTATCAATGGTGTTATGAATGATTCTAGATCGACTAGAAACTTTAGTCTCGTCCAATCTTCTTCTTTTTGGCTGTCTTGATTTTCATTAAGGAGAAGCTAATTCATTGAATGGCTGTAATGAAGGAATTAGAGTTACGAACTTATTCTTGTATGTTATTACTTTATCTAAAAGCTTAACCATCTTTTCAGTTACTCTTATCATTTCGTTGTCTTCTTTTTGGTGTTTATTTTTCTTTGTTAGTAAGCTCCTTCTACTAGCCCTTGGAGTTCTTAATTGAAGAGGGTTCTTACAATGCCAAACAAGAACTTTCTATCAGAACCTGATTTTCATCAAAATCTGGGACACACGCTTGTATTTCTTTGTTATCTTTCCAAGTTGGTCACAGATTTGAAACTTAAAGTTCATCGAACTTTGGACATAAATAATTTTTATCTCATTACTAAAGAAGACTTAATTAAAGAGATCTCTGTGATTAAATTACCTTCTTGGTATTATCTGTGATCAATCTGATGAACGAAACAGGGCACTTCCTCTTTTGGAGTAGCCAAAATTTTATATAGATAGCTTAACCTTTTAAAGATATAAAACAATCTTTGAGCCATAGGATTAGTTTGACTTAAAATTACTCTGATACTTGTATATGTGGTAAAGACTTTTCTTAAGCCTCATTTCATTCTTTAAATCCCCAGGAGTCATAACTTTACTTTCCATCTTTAAACTAACAATGCTCATGAAGTTGTATTTTTCTTAATTAACCTTGGCATCAAATTTCTGAAATATTCAGAACATAGGTAAAAGAGGCCAAAGCGGCCAAAAATAGGTGGACTCATAGGCTTTCAGAATAATTAAAACCATGAAGATTAGGTGGAAACTACAGCTTTGCACAGAAATCTGGTGAAATCGATTTTCTCGAAAATTAATATTTTGGATAATTAGATATGAAAACATAAGTTTTTTATTGGGTTGTTGATTCTGTTTTGCAAGAATATACTATCCACCTCATCAAAACTCTTCTTGAAGGGATTTAGCCTAATTATCTGTCCTATTTTCTGCTCTATACTTATCATAGCCTTTATCTAAAAGAATACTCTTTTTATTGGGTTTAGAAATGGTCAGTATGGTGGAATAGTGATCAGAGGTAGGTTTCCTGATTTCAGAATGTATGAACTGCCTTGATCTTTTGGATCCTGGGCATTATCAATGGTAGAGATGGTATTTTCTAAATTTGTCTTTGGCAACTCTTGCAGGAAATGGAGAAAGTTATCAGGTTTAAAAATCCTGCAGTCCATATTACATCTTCTATTTTTCTAACTGAGACTCCTATTATGAAGCTCATAGAGAATTCAGTAAAGGGCAAAAAATATTCCAGGAGTGCCCTTCTTTGATCGCCCGTAGTGCTTAATAGACTCCGATGAATAACTAAATTCATAAATGTACAGTAAACTATAGCCAGATTCTTCAAGCTGAAGCTGAAGAGAAAGAGAAACTGATCTTAGTATCAACTTCAGACTGGCTGGCCTCTTTATCTTAAACCCCATGTGCTAATTTTCCTGAAACTAAACCCACAAGCAGCTTTCATGTAAGACCTCATTTTTGATTCAGAAATATCATGCAGTCAGATCATCATCTGAGCATAAATTTCCTTACTGTTCCAGTATTAAAATATTTTCCTTCTTTTTAGTAACAGCGCGACTTCAGAACAGTAATTTGCCCTTCTGATAGCTTTTTCTCCTTGTTGAGGCTCTTCTTATTGGTTTTGAGAACTGCTTTTGTTCCTTTTCTATACTTTGTGAGACAATTCTTTATGCCTCTTATCTGGACAAAGTATTTACTGTCTCAGTGGACATGTCTTCACTGAGGATTTCTACTTCAAAGATAATCAAAGAACTTTGGTCTTTGTAGAGGATGGTTTTTCTAAAGTCTGTTCTACACATGAATAATCATCAATGTTATATCTGCTTTCCAGTTCAAAGAGCTGAAAATTTGGTCCAACACATCGTCCTTGTTTACATCAAATTATTGCAAATCGCTTTCAAGGCAAATTAAGTCTCTTCCTTGGCTGGTGACGATACATATTCCTTCGAATTTGAGGGAATGTCAGTTGGAGGACCTTATAATCTCCTATATTGAAGAAGAAGAAGGTGAATGACTTTCCTCCTCTTTGGTTATCACCAACTTTCCTTTCAAGGGCGATGAAATGTAATATTCTAAGAGTTAGTGGTTGAAGCCTGTAGTCCTTTCTTCATTTCTTTAATTGTTTTCATATTTTCTAAAAAGTTTAATTTTTTATTAGTTCAAGCCATATTATTGGTATCAATATTCCCTTCCCTATTTGGGGTTTTGGGGTTTTGGGGTTTTGGGGTTTTGGGG